AGCTGCTGCCTCTTGAACAAGTGATTGCTGCTGTGCCTGGCACAGGACAGCTGTGAGAGCTCTTCTCTGAGACCTAAAAGTGGATGATCAGTGCCTGGAAAACTTGAGCAATCACAGAAAGAGTCTTCATTAATCTTGAAGACCTTAATTAGTAGGATTAGCCAATTTTCCTGAAGCCATTAGAGTAGTTGACTATAAATTTTAAGGTTGACCCCTTCCAGCAGTAACAGGAAATGTTTTCCCACTGAAAGTTTGCTATATCCTACAATAAGGTTTGCTGTAGACATAATTTCCATTTTCTGTGGTATCAGGACAGGTTACTTCCTGAAAAAAAGGGAGAGGATATTTGCAATGTGCCTTTAACAGGGATTTACTGTTGGATAATGCACAAAGGGCTCCTTCTCTTGAACAGATTTCCCAAATGCCCTTCTCTGGCTTGAGCATAACCACCATAAATTGGCCATCTTATCCTGAAAGGAATTAGTGTGACTGCTTCCAGACGTTGCATATAAATTTATGGAATGATTTAGATATCGTTTTATTGCACCTGGCAGAGCACTTGATTCTTCTAGGATGTATCTAGCTGTGAACTCAGTAGATCTTTCCAAAAGATTGCAATTGCAAGAGTGCTGAGGAGAGGAAAAAGGGCTAATGAAGAGATTTAGATTTACTTGGCCAACTGAAAGAAGCGAACCTGGAGAGAGCCAAGTTCACTTCCACTCAAGGGGAGAGCAAGTCCTGACTGAAGGCACTGTGGGCTCAGGGGCTGCTGGAGCTGAAAAGGTTGGGTTCCTTTTCTAGGGGATGCATGACTGCAGAGAATCAGGAAAGTGATTCCTTTTAACATTCATTTTTTCTTCTGCCTTGGGGAAAGGCTGGCAATATACCAAATAGCCACTTTTGTTTCCAGATAATGGTGATAATTTTCAGTGGAGTGCCCTCTACTTGCTGTTTTTCAGGTTGAAATCGCAATGAAACACTTGATACAAACTTGCCAAAACACATCCTTTAGTCCTGATAGTCTCCACCTGTGTAATTTAGTATTTTAACTTGTGGAATAAGTCATGCCTTAAGATAGGGTGTAGTTATCCTCGATGAGAACAGGAGGCCAGGTTTCGTGGGCCTGCCTCCAGCAGCCACCTGCACTCTAACCTTTATTTTTCTTCATACAGGTCTTTATGAAAGACTTGACATTTCTCCTTCCTTCCTCAAGTATTATCCTAATGGGCTGTTAGCAAAGCAGAAATTCCTGCTCTTTTGAAAAGCCCACACAAATGATGGTTGTTATGTGAAACAGTGCTGAGTTCAAAACTCACATATCTTTCTGACAGTGGGCAAATCCTTGTATTTCCCTTTCTCCATTGGTCAGTCTGTAAAATTATGGAAATTGTAACAGCTCTGCACAGTTCTTGAGCCTTAAGTTGTTAAGGAAACTACACAAGATGATGAATAAGTATGTTTTCTAATATCTACTGCTTGAGTAAAGCAGAGATTTACATTGAATGTTATTTTGGCCTGAGATTTTTATGATTGTGCTCCACACAGAAATCTCCTGCACTTGATTGGATGCCTTTTGCATTTAACTTTGCCTGCAATGAATCTTGGCCTTACACAGCCCAAAGTCAAAGCAGTGTGTGCCCTATTTAAGTAATGAGCTATTGATTTTAGAATTACTCATTTTATTACGACCATATGGAACTGGTCATATTCTGAGGACTCATCTCTGAAATGGAAGCTGCTTAATTTCAGTTTGGAATGGGACAAAAATGGACTTCAGGGATTTTACCTATTGAAATTTGGCATATCACAAATAACAGGGACTGTCTGGCCTCACACAGAGCTGTGCATTGTACTGCAAGAGCCTGGGAAGAAATTCCTCTTCTTGCATGAACTCAGGCCTCTGAGCAGGCTCCTAGTGCAATGCCACCTTCATTTGTCACTGGTTGCCATACCCTGTGTGCTGCTGCTAAGTATTTACAACACCTCCAGGATCAAAGAGACGCTGCCAAGAAGGCTCGTGGGGAGAAATTTTGACCTACTTTTGCATTTGGCACCACTCTTCCTGCCAGGAGCAGGTGGACTGTGAACAGACCTTCGGTGGAGGGTCCAACCTGGCTGGCACAGAGAGCCCTGGCGTGGCAAAGCAGGCAAAAAGCAGCACTGCAAACAGTCTGAGGTTAAACTCTGCCCCTCTTCTGCCCCCTTTTCTTGGGAAAGCAAATTTTCTGGGAGAAAGGGTGTGGAGGTTGCAAGTACAGTTCATTTTTGTTCTGTGCCTGTCTGTCTTCCCCCCTTTTCCTGCTGCTGGTTCTTTGCTCTGCAGCACTGGGGTGTATGTGGAGAATGAATTTGCTTTCTGTGGTTGCCTGAACAAGGTTAAGCTACTGAAGCCATAGGATTTTTGCAGGTTCCCTACTCCTAGGGAACATAAATGAGAAGAAATGCTACACATCTGATTTTTGCAAGCCTACATTTTTACTTTCCAGGCTGTCATGCTGTTTTCTTTATGACTGCAACTGTATATTAGAAAGCTGTATTTGTCAAATAATAGAGATCAGTTTGTGTTTTCTCACCAAAAATCATGTTGTGCTTCTCCCTCCCTTCCCTCTCACTTCCCCCTTGCACATAACTTTGTAAAATGTTGGCAATTTGGTATTCCCACTTTCAGTACATGAACTGAAGTATAAAACTGGGTGGTTTATGGAATAGATGTGCTGTACATGAGAAGAAAATCAGAGCTGGTTTTTATACCTTTAATCTGTACATTAGAATGAAGTGAGCCTGACTTGACAATGCCCATCCATTTCATGAGCTGGCTCTGGAAGGACCCTGGATGCCTATTGTTTTTTGGATGTAGACCAGGTGAATCGATCCTGAATTTGCTGAGCTGAAAAACTTCTAAATTCTGTATGGAAATGAACTGACATGAGGGTGGGATCTGGGGAGGGGACATGAGGGGGTCCTTTGAACCAAGCTCTTGCTATAATTAGGATCTCAGAAGTTGCCTTCTAACCTCTCAGAAATTGCCTTCTAAGCTCTATTAAGCTATTGATTAGTTACAAGGAAGTTTGAAGGGAATGGGTTTTATTAATTTGACCAAGTATTAAGAAAAATAACGCTGTTGACTCTTCAGTGGATAACCACAGGGACCCGCCTTGAGAATGTGGTGGTGAAATGAGGGAAATAAGCCAAGACACTGGCAGGAGCAGTCAGCTTCTAGAACATCAGGATGTTGATGGAGAGCTCCAGTGGGCTCTGAGAGTTGCATATTCCATCCCACCCTGATATCCCTGAGCAGGAGGGTGTTGGGCTTTCTCAAGAAGCAGACGTTTTTAACTGTCAGAACAGGCAATGTCTGAATGACACAGTAAATAACAATAAGCTGAGAGGTACAAGGGCTGTTGGTGCTGGTGACCATCTCTTGCCCACAAAGTCACTGCTGTGGCAGTTTGAATTCATGTGTGGTGTTAAACACTCTGCAGTTTGGAAGACAACCTTACATCATCGCTTCAGCAGCCATGGGAAGTTTCATCCCGCAGAGTTGGAAAGGCACCAAAAGGATGGTCTGTGATGCACAAAAAATCTGGAGTTTGGAGGCTGTCCATTGGTGTCCTGATATCATCATCCCTCTCTTTGTTCAGAGCTTTCAGTAAAAAGGTCGCAACAATTTCTCTTTATTTAGTTTCCTCCTCCCCCTGGGGATTATTAATGGCCCTGAGGCAGATCCAGTCTCTCCTTGCATTCACTGCTTTGGGGGCTGGATTCTGTATAAGGCCAGTGGGTACAGAAGTTGGCTAGTAAAAAATTAAGGAAAGCAAACTTGCTCATACTCCCTTCTATCTGAACTAGTTCTGTAGGTATTTTAAATCAGCATCGTTTGCAGTGCTGACAATTCATGAACTTAACCCCTGCAGCTCATGCTGTGCATTGCTTTGGTACCTAAAAGAGCATTCCAAATTTTTTTCTTCCTTTTTTTTTTTTTTTTTTAATTTTTTTTTTGCATTGAGCTTATTTTTAGTACCTTCATGTTTAATGAAAGATATTAAATACCTTAAGGCTTTTACAGATTGTTCCCTGTATCTGGAAGGTCCCATTTTAATGTGTATTTTGTGCATTTTCTTCATCTACCTTCTACTTTTATCTTAGCCAATGACAGTGAGATTCCTAAGGCTACTTTCTCTTTAAGGGAATACTGCTTACATAAATAGTCCTTTACACCATCTCATTGTTTTATAATATTAATTGTTTATCAGGAGACAGGAAATATTCCTTAGAAAATGTGTTTTCCTGCTTGTGCATGCCTTGTTACTATTTCAATTATGCAGATTCTTGATGCTGTGGAAATTTGTGCTTGATGACGCCAAGGCAGCTGCACGTTGTTAGCATTGTAGGCTGTCAGATGATCATGTGGGATTCTTGCAGCATGCAACATTCAATAGGATTGAAAAAGGGCTTTTGATGCAAGGCATAGCTTTCAGAATATATTTGTGCCTTTTAGTTAGCTAATAGAAAATCATAATTTATTATCTTTAAATTTAAAATGCTGCCTCATTTTTCTTCTGGTTGGTTTCATTTTGGCTTCACTAGAAGATGCATCTGGTACATCCACGATTGAGGAGTTTATTAATGATACTGTCGTTCAGTTCACTTACTTTTTTTCCTTTTAGAGTCCTAGCTAGCCCACAGATTACATGATCACATGTTCATCCAGTCATTCATATAGAACACAAACCACCATGCATGATTTCTTCTTCTTTCTTTTTCCTCTCTGCCTTTTTTATTCCTTTTAAGTTGCTTTGTCATGTTCTCTTTTACCATCCAGCTTAGTCTTTGTCTTCCCCTCGCTGCTATTTGTTCTATATTTTCCCATGCTTGGTTACTGCAATATTATTTGATTAACGGGCTGTGATGATGATGAACCTGCACACTGGAGGAGCAGCTACTACAGTGGTGATGAAGGGATGTAATAATGGTCGCTATCCTCGGAATTCTCTCTACAGTGACTGCATAATAGAAGAAAAGGCAGTGGTCCTGCAGAAAAAAGACAATGAAGGATTTGGATTTGTGCTCAGAGGGGCAAAAGGTATGTGCTTCTGTGTGTGTGTGTGAGTGTGTGTGTGATGTGCAGTGGCATGAAGAAATTTATACATCTCAGAATATAAGCAGGAATTATTCTTGGTGCACTTGGTTGCTAGACAACAGGATTCTCTGTATGCTATACTACTCCGATGGATTTCAGTGCCTTCTCTCCGAAGCAGTTTGCATTTTTACATAGGAGAAGCACTGCATAATCGTTTTGGGGGGAGAAAGTTTTGCCTGTATTTTTCTCGTGCTGGTGGATGTAGTATTTTGTCATTAATCTGTTCTGTTGTGCAGTTTACTTAACTATGGGAAACCTGCTTTCCTCATAAAAACTGCTGCTTTATTTCAAATACCAGCCTGGTTAAATAGAGCTGTGAATAGGAATAGACAAGAGAGGGATGTTTTGTTTAAAATAGGTGTGGATCTTCTGCAAGGTGACATTGGTGCAGTTTTAGTATGAAAATATGATCTTTTTTTATATCTTGAGAAGCTGCACGTATGTTGCATGGCCTGTAGTGTGCTCATTTTTAAAGCTGTTCATATGTTAAGCTGCACGGCACTTCTCTGTAGGCTAAAATCTATCACGGTGGCATTCCTACCACTTAAAAAAGGCATTCTATTTAATGCTTTGCTTTTTAACTTTCAGTGTAGTTTGCTCCCTTTGTATTTTAAAAAAAAGAATATATATATATATATGTGGTGGTATGTCCCATCTCTTGCTCCCCCTCATTTCACATGGGTTCTCCCTCGCCTTGCTTGAGCATGAAAATTATTCCATGTCTTCATTCTTGGGACATGGCTTTGCTCTCCCTCTTCCCCACCCCTAAACCTCATCCGGTGCCACCGTGGATTTGCAGGGCTGGGAAAGCTTTGCCAGTTTTAGCCAAATGAAATGTTTGGAGTTGAGGCAGGAAAGCCCAAGGCTGTGCCTTGTCTCGGAGCTCTGGTGTGGGTTATCAGTGCTCTGAGCAGGGCTCACTCCCCCAACAGTTTCCCCCAGATTTTCTCTGTGGCAGCGGGGGCGCCTCAGGTGAAAGACCCAAGGACTTTTCTGCCCGTGTGTGTACGTGACACAGGCAGGGCTGCCACAGGGCCAGCTGTGCCTCCTGTCCTAAAAAGTGATTTCTCCTGGTCTCTTCTTTGTTATGC